GTTTAGAAAGGATCGTTTGGCGAATTTTCTTTACTAAAATGGTTTTTCAAGACCATATATCTAAACGAACCAACTTTAATAACGTTGCAATAGTAATATAGGATAACTTAAAATGGTGTTACAGTCCTTCCGAGTTTTATCTAAGCTACGACGATTACTACGGTAATATTACTCCTTTAGTAGTTACATTTATACCGATTTTTCAACACACTTATAAAAATATCAACGAGACGAAAGCAAAAAAGATGAAAAAATATTTCGAAGAAATTTGAGACACGTGTTATTACTACTATTATTAATTATTACGATTATTATTTGACAAAAGACGCGCAGAAAGGTAGATTGTACATAGAAGAAAAAAAAACAGGTTCGTATCATTGTAATAATAATTGTAATAAATTAAAGCGTAGTTCGGTACACTTTAGACCCTGTTTCTTCGTTAGGTTTTCCATGTGCAACCAAGCTACAGAATCGTTTAGACTTTTAAGTGTAATATAATGCAAAGCCACTTGTATTTGTAGTACTTATTCTGCTTAAGTATTGATTTTATACACGTTTATTTCCTTATGATTATATTTTATTTGTAATTTTTCTATGAAATTATTGATATTCAAATTGCTTCAAACTTGTACTGAGAAAGATAAAGAACTATGTTTTTGAAATACTTGTGTATATTTGACAATTCATATCTCATATATTAAGCGTATAAGTATATCATATTAAATACACATATAAAAAGTGCATAATATAAATATGTGTATTTAATATGTTTAAGCACATAATATTTCGAATATAGAAATTTTAATAAAATACGGTGATTCAAATAATGTGATACTGCACCACCGTAGAATTATTCTGTTGTATCGTTATTTCAGGAATGTTCAGGCAATGAAATTTTTATTGAATAATAGATTCCACGTTATTATTTATGATATTCAATTTTAAAAATATTACTCACACGTTCGAAGTATAAATTTTGTCAGATTTAAAAATAATGCATATCCTGAACGAATTTTGTTACAACCAATTGGTGAACACAGTTGCTAGCCGAAAGGCGCTAGTCGCTAATATCACGGAAGGTAAAACATGGCTTTGTTGTCATCGCAGACGATGTGTTGTGTCGTTTAGAGCCAAATAATTTCTATTAATATACTTAATTAAATTAATGAAAGCGTGGCACGCGCTTGAGTGGGTTACTATTTTATTCATCAGCCAAGATGGACATGTCATTCTCAGTTAACGTCTGAACAGAGTGAAAGTTATGGCTGGTGCAATGCAGGAGGTTAGGGATCCTCTGTCAACAGACAGTAAAGGTAATCATTTTTTAATTAAGCATTCGTTAAAACGGTTAATATTTTTGACTTTGAAACTAATATTTTCAATTCATACTGAATTACACAATTTAAAGTGAAAAATCCTTTTAATGACTACGAATTGTCGTTGATACTCGGTAGCAAAATGTATACACGTCATCGTTAACTACAACATGTAGATATTATCATGTAATAATTATCGGCGGTACGATTTTTTATGGAAATTAGTAATATTTACTTTATTACTTCAGGATACCCAACCTCAAAGGCATGCATATCTTATGAAGAAATTGCTGCTAAGCTTCTAAGTGATAAACTTTTATTGACGGCCTTGGAGCTGCATGCGGAATTATGCGAAGCAGGGAAAGAATTACCTGTTTTGAAAGAATTTTTTTCCACTCCAAGTCATTTTGAAAGTCAAAGTATTAAGCCAGAACCGTACACTTCTATGCGTACGTATAATTTATTTACATGAAGATATTATTAATTTAAAAATGCATTTAAACAGTAATTGTTATATTAAATGTAAACAAGTATAGATATTCTATATAAAGAAAACGTATGATATTAAAACAAAAATATATTTGTTATGAATTTTGTTTGAATCAAGACATAACAATTAATATTAATCTATTGTAATTTTTTACTTATTACATAAAACTTTTATTAATTAAAATATTTATGTAATTTAATGATATATCTTATAAAATTGCATTTATTGTAAGAGTATAATATTTCTTTTAATTCATTTAGCCAGATCATCCAGTCAGGCTACTTTAGACTCACTTGATATGACAAGATATTCAGAAGATGGCGCAGGGGTTGACGAGAGAGTAGCAATTTTAGAATTTGAACTAAGGAAAGCTAAAGAGAGTATTTCTGCTCTTCGTGCAAATCTCACTGTAGTCACAGGTTTATCTCTTTTTCTGATTATTTGATTATTATATTTAAAAACATGACTTAACCAATATTTTAATACTTCAGAATCAGACGGATCTACACTTGATAAGAGTTCTGATAAGCATTTAGTGAATGACTTACCCATAAAACCACACGAGCAAAGAGCTTTGAATTTCCTTGTTAATGAATATTTATTAGCATGTTCATACAAGTTAACTTCAATCACGTTTAGCGATGAAAATGAAAATCAAGATTTTGAAGATTGGCAGGATGTAGGATTAGACATCCCGAAACCTGCAGAATTATTACAAATTTATAGAGAATATATGCGAGCTAATGGTTACGATAAGGCACCCTCTGCAAGTATTGGTGTGCAAACAGACTTTTGCGAAGTTGATTTTGAAACAGAAAAGAATGAATTTAAACAAATGGTTTGTTAAAATCATGTACATCTTATCTTTACTATTTGTTTAAAGTCATTAAAGAATTGTACAATTTACAGGTGAAAGATATAGAAGAACTTAAACAACAGACTGCAATTTTAGAGCAAGAAAAGGTGGACTTGCAACAAATTCTTGCAACTACAAATGAAAATTTATCACAAAATCCAACGAAGGTATGAACCGACTATACATGTAAGAAAATATAGAAATGTTTTGTTTCCTCAGTTTCTGTAATTGACTTCTTTCTACAGCAAGGTAGTAGCGGAACAATACAAACATTGAATTCTAGTTCTACAACTCCAGATAAATTTGAATTGCTTGAAACACCTCCTCGGGATGCATCAGCGGCAACGCAAGAACCAGAGGAAGATGACAGTGTGTCAGTAGTTGTTAGCCTTGGTGACACTGATCCTGGGGATAAAGAATGGACAAGAATTCAATTACCAAGAGTGGACGTTACAGAAGGATCGTCTATCCTTCCGAATCCTCCATCTAGGTATTTTATTTTCGCATAAGCATGATCCATTTCTAGTAAAATTGATTTTCTATATCAAATAAAATATATTATTTGTAGACATTTACCGCTAAAATTTAAAATGGAGGTTATAGGCCATTGTCTAGTTAATATTTCAAGTTCTATTATTTCCACGGCAGAAGAACCTTTTAAAAATGGAGTCTCACGAGATAACCTTGTTCACATCTTGGCAGAAACTTTACCTCGCATTGTACCCAACATCATACTTAATAAACGCGAAGAAGTAATACCATTAATATTAAGCGTAATTCGACTTCATACCGAATCTACGGAAAGGGAGAAATTACTACAACTTTTATTCAGTCTAAAGAAGAGGCCACAAGAAAATGAAAGACAATTAATCTTAGCTGGTTAGGATAAATATATACATATATTAGGTACCGGAAAAGTTTGTGCGGGTTCTTAAAACAAGATTTAAACATAGAGAACGTTTTTGTGAAATAATTTTATTTTCTTTGATACCAACAGCATAACATATCTTGCTGCTAATATCAATTTCATGTATTAAACTAGTGAAATACTATTTGAAATTGAGCCTGAATTAATTGCTAACAAGAAAATCGCACAAACTTTTTTCGGCACCTAATACAATTATGTTGTTATGTGTAATGCACTATGATTATTATTTATTAGGATTAATTGCTATGGCAAAACTCGAAAACGATCCAATGGAAGGGGAAGAAATATTAACTATTTGTTGGGAGCAGAGTCAGTACAAATACCCTGAGAAGAGGTTGTTAGCTGTGGAATGTTGCTCTGTATTGGCTCCATATATGTCGGTTGGCATTAGGAATTCTTTAATGCTTTCTATGTTACAACAAATGTTACTGGATGACAAAGACCCTATGGTCAGAGCTTGCGTAGTGAGAAGTCTTGCATTGCTTATAGCTTTGATGGATGATCCCGATAAATATTTTCAGGTAATATACTGCATGAACTTGTTTCATATTAAACAAAGTCAGAAAAATAATTTATACCTCTAATAATCATTGTTGCAGTGCGAAGAATTGGCATTAACTGCACTGAATGATTCATCACCAATCGTTGTAGAAGTCGCATCCACTTTACTTTTGCCCATTTTAGCTCAGTGGGCGCTCTCCTTGAAAAGGTTGCAGACACATTTGTTACCACGTGTAATATCAAAAGTTAAAAATCATTTAAAATCTGGATACTATCAGCATTCGCCTAATAAAGATCACATTGACGAAGTAAAGACCGTGTCGTCGATTAGCGTTTTACAGTATTTATTACCGCATATGGTTATATGCGTAGCAGATACAGATACAGTTAAAACATATATAGAACATGGAACGTCATCTGATTTATGTAAATATGATACACTACACGTTGATGTAATATAGTGTCAAGTCAATATTAGTTTATTTCAAAACTTTATTTTATAGCTGATGTGTTCCTTAACTTGTGTCATACCAATATTGTCAACCCAAAAGTATTCTATGAAGGAGACGTAGATATCGGAGCACTATTGAATACGTTCTTTGCGAATACATGGGAAAATGATACATGGCCAGAATTAGAGTGGTTCACAGATAAATTGTACGTTTTTTAAAAATTTAATTCCTATTTAATTTTTGTCTAATACCTCTTCTGTTTTAGATTAATGGACATTTTAGAAATGATCAAATCCATTGAAGTTGGACATGAAACCATTTTACATGCTCTACTAACATACGTCCACTCCTTATGTTTGGGTTTTGGACGGTATATCACGCAAACACGGGTAATTATTATTTTTTAATTATTCAATAATAGTAATTTTCATAGAAAATATTTATTAATATTTTAAATCTTAGGTTACAGTTATATTGAATAATAATTTGTTATTTTTTTTTAGATTCAGCCGATATTTGCATCCGAAGTGTCCGAACTTGAGCAACAATTAACGGCATTATCGCCAGATAAAAAAAATACGAGTTTGACGATAATGCCTATGTATTTAATTTTGTTGTCTACTTTAGATGGTGCAGAAGTTGCTAGATGGTTGAAAGAATTCCTTTTTACTTTGTCTATAAACGGTATCAGTATTACTTGCTTACAAGTTGCAGTAATTATGTTATGTACTGACGAACATATGCAAGAATATATCCTTAGTGGTTTATGGGATGGTTAGTTTCGTTGACATTTTAAATAGTGATTTCGTTGCCTCCTTAGTGGCACTTTAGTGATTAAGTTACACCTTCCATCCCCCTTTTTTATAGGGGTAGTGCACCAAAGACCTGTTGTGAGATGCGCAACCGCAACATTATTTGGTTGTGTGATAGCTCATGTTTCTGATCGGTTAGCCAGTGCTAAGGTAGTTCCAGCAGTCATAACACTCGTTAGTGATCCCGATATGTAAGACTTATTTGTATATATTTTTGTACTTGTCTAGTTGTTTTTGAAATCTAAACATTCAATTATTAATATTAAATTAATAGTTATAATCAATTCAGTCGATACAACGATTGTTTTGGTTTTAGAACTGTTCGCTGCGCTGCGATTCCTTCACTCGGTCGATTAATAACAGAATGCAAAGTGAAAGAAATGAGGGATAAAGCACGTTTAACTTTAGAAACCATTGCTAAAGATCCTCAAGGTGTTCCTTCACCTTTGGCATTACCGTTAGTTTCAGCATTGGCATTTATCGCTCCTAATTGCCCTCAAAATTATATCGAAGATGGTAAGAACTAAACTTTCACATTTTTAATGTCATTTATATGAAATTGAAGTTAATTCTTTTACAGTAATTGCCACTCAATTAACTGGAATAGCGTCATTTGCGTTGCAGCAAGATCGTAAAGTCGATCTCATTAGTGCTTTAGTTGAAGCATTTTCTGTTCTGGTTTATTGTCCGCTTAGCTATCAATGCGTTTCGAACGTATTATTGCCCGGCTTAAAATCTTTGGAGCAATTAGCAACCCAGTACTTACCTCAACAGAAAGACACTGTTAAATCACTTTTGAGAGAAATAGAATCTCGACAAGATCTTTCAAAACCGATAGAGAGGTATGTAAATGATTATTAACGAATAGTAGTTTATTTTGTAAATAATTATGTGAATATCTTTTTTTTTTGTGTTCGTTAGATCGCTATCTATGAGCTCCGGTCTTTCATTGTCAATGGCTACTGTAAATGTAGGACAAGGCGTGGAAGACATGAGGCAAAGAGTGAGCAAGATTTTCCAACAAAAAACTAGTTCATCCAGTATGTCAAGTATTTTCCGAAAAAAGTAAGACAAATTAGATTGTTTCCTAGCTATATCTACAGATTAATACGTCTTGTTATTATTTACGAAATTTTTAGTTAATTATTTCCCTAATACTCTTAGGAATTTAACAATACTTGTACTTATGTACTTTATGATACAAGATAATGCACAAAACTTACATGAATTAAAACACAATATTACATAAGTATTATCAATTAAAATCAGGATATAAGTTTGATAATAAAATTTATTCAAAAATTAGTAACGAACATCACTACAGAAGCAGGTGTGCCTTTGAAAATACAATTTAAAAATTTTTAAGAAACACACAATTTAATTATGTTCGGAATGAAAAAATTACAAAATAAGATAAAAGTCAATAAATAATATATTCATTTCTATATTCATGTGTATAAGTAAACATAACATTAAATATTAATATAATTGTAACGCTTTATATAATTAGTTATTTTGGAAAATTACATTAACTGATGTCTAATTTGTTATTATATATTTTATGGATTACAGTATATTTATTAAAAGAAATCTCAGAAACTACTAATATTGTAGATATTTTATGTATTATATAACATTATTGTGCTCTTAAGAAAGAAATTGAAAATATATCCTGCCATAATGCAACTATTAAACATAAAGTTACAAGAGTTTAATAATTAAGATTTACCATATTGTAAATCATAGAAATATTTTATAGGTAATATTAATCTTTTAACGAATCGGTTGTGACTATTCAGTGTTAATACCTTAAAACATAATTTCATTTGTGTATACTATACGACCTTTAGATCAGAGCAACTTTGATTTTTATCATATACACGATTTTATGTGATACCATAAATCCAGTATAATCAACGTATGTATATTTGTACTTAAATCAAACTTACTGTATGTAAGCCCTAATATTTCCGCTGTAAACAAATGAAAAGAAATAATCAAATTTATTTAGAGTAGTTCGTATCTTGTAAGAATATTTTATTGTATCTATATATATATATACAATTATATGTCCCGTATATACATATATATTGACATACAATACATGTATATAATGTATTTAATATATGCGTATATACAATGATTAATAGTTCATCATTGTTCGTGACCATTAAATCATTATTACTTTATATACATATACATATATATATATATACATATATACACATGTATATGTATTTGTGTTTATTAAATATTAAATACTGTAGCATGTTTTATTATCGTGCAAAGAATAAATTTTATAATATATTTACTCTAAATGTAGATCCAAGTTCTCAACATGTTTTAATTACTCTGTGCTAGCGCTCTTACTGCTGTACCGACTTTCGGATATCTGTATCTGGAATAGTCGTTGACTTTCAATTTCAGTATGTACATATCTGTTTCATTTGAATCAGAATATGTAGATACGTTTATATTATCGCGAATATTCATATTCTTTCAAAAAAAATATGTGAGGTGAAAAAGATTCGTGTTGAGTAATTTCTCGTAGATATGTGCATACACTACAGTAACTGTAGTAAATTAAAAAGATTAAATTTATTTCTCGAATTTCAAATATGCTTAGTGGGAATCTAATGATATATAAATTATATAATACAATCGAAATCAGAGAAAATTAAATTTCTAAAAATTTCTACATGCATTAGATATGTCACTGAATACCAGTCTCTTTAGTACATATAAAAATAATTGCACCTGAAGAGGTAACACCTAAAAATAGGCAAGAAAGGGTTATAACTAATAAACAGTTCTGCTTATTACTAAATAATGTAGATAATCTTATCTTTCTTCATTGAAACAAAATATTATTTTCTCACCATATACAATTATAAATGATTGTGTTTTTCAAGTTGGCTTCCTTATGGAGATCTTAAGTGTTTCGAGGGTATTAATGTATTTATTGTGTAAATTGTAAATTAATTAATAACATAATGAAATATGAGAGATCTTACAAACAAGGAGACTTGGGTGAAGTGAGTCACTTCGTGGATATTGGTTGTAACCGACATTAGGAGCAAAAGAATTAATTACCATCCCTGGTAGAAAGCATATTTGATTAAATAAACCAAAGGATAATAGGCATATTTATATATGACTTCGGCCATGTATGGACAACACTGAGTGACATTCTCCATTATTAACGGTCTCCAATGTACGATAATACTCTATAGGACCTTATAACACATAGGAGAAGTTCGTTATTAATATGTTTAGTCATTATAATTAATTACAGAAATAAATTGTTTACTAAGAGGAGAACCAGGTATTATTTCCATTTATATATTGTTAATTTATTTAGAAAACATTAATTTATAAAAATAACAATTGCAAAACAATTTTATAAAAAATAAACAATCTTATTAATAAAATGATATTCAGTATCGTCGCCGTTGTATGTTAATAATTCGTCATCCAGATGATTTTCCATAAACTAAATAAACTGTCAGTGTATGTGAATAGTAATCCAATATTTCTTCAACAAATACATGTTGTTTATTTTAATCAATTAACAGCAATATTTAAATAAAATTGATTCAATGATGTTTAGAATACTTATTTCAAGCTAATAATTATAGTCTTCGTGTCCGCTCATGGCCGAAAATGCTTATTCCCCTTTGTATCGTAATAATTATTTTCTTATTGAATGTAAAAAAGGGTAATGGTAATGATAAGTGATAACGATCATCATGTAGAAATAAAATATTAATTTTAAAATAAATATGTTTGTTTCTTAGTAATACAGAACGTATGGATACTTTATTATGCTGTTTAATAATTTTTTATCACTGTTGGGTACAAATGATCGTTATGTTATTTTATGCGTATAGAAAGCAAGAGCATTTATTATTTCGTCCACATTCTATTCAAAAATCCTTAATTTTTTCATTTTATTTTTTTTTTAAATATATACAATACTGTTTTTTGTTTATTAGGTATACAAATAATTCCTTTAGTTTATATTTGCTATTTTAATCGAACACTTCTCAATTTTCGCATCCTTTAATCTTCACCATTTGACAAAAACTTGCTTTTTCTAATCTGAACGTAAATAAGTAGTAATTATCGGCTAATTGGCAAAGAAAACCCGAATTCAGATGTTCAAGTTCAGATACTGAAATACTCAGATTTAAATTTTGAAACCAGATTCAACTTGTACCGGACATTCCGATATCCGGATAGTAAGAGCTCTAGACACATTGCAAACTTGGAAAAGTTTGTAATTGGGGTGGCTTAATTATACTACTAACAACGCGCGGAATTTTAATAGCCTTCAAATTCTTCTGAACCCTGAGCAATCTAGAATAATTCTAAAACTAATCCTTCTTTATTGACAGTACGTCCACCGTGAATTTTAAGTTCAACACGGGGGAGTTTGCATGCTTATCCCTAAGAAACCTTCGGTGTAATACTATTTACATGACTTCAAATGTGGGTGAGAAACTTTAAGGGGCGAAAAGGTTTACAATAAATATTAAGCGAGCAATAGGGAGAAATAAAGTCTGTTCTAAACCATCTGTGCACTAGATAAAAAGTATGTAAAAGTATGAAACTCAAGGAGAAGCTATGTCTTATTTATTGTATATGTATGGTAAACAATACAAAGGAAACATCTTTTTGCGT